CCACGCTGAGCAGGAAACCCGCCATGGGGGCTCAATCTCACAACCCTGAGATCATGACCTGAGCTGAAATCAAGTGTCAAGTGTCAGACGCTCAACTGACTGAGCCACCCAGGCACTCCAATAAGAACACGGTTTTTAAGGAAAATAAATGTGTTGGACAGAAAGTTATACACACACACACAGAGACACACACACAAAACAGGTATTAAATAGGTTAAACTGATAATACAGAATGGGTAGGAGATATAAAACATTGAAATATGCCATGGTAAACAGAGAATGGCCACAACTCCAGTCCAGATAGCTTTTGCAGTTAACATAGACACCAAGCTGCCTCAGTTCCAAAGATCAATAACAGATAAAGAATTTTTAAATATTAAAGAGGTAGAACCATATTCAAAAACAAGATAAGTATCTCAGTAGACAAAAAATAAAACAGAAACACACAGAGTATAGAGTATAGAGTTCTGGGACCTAAAATAGGTAGAGGTAACCAAATTCTTACAGGATAATGGGGACCAAGATGCCCTACATGTTTTAGGCATCAAGAAGCCTGGCCCACTACAGGAACTCAGAAAGTGGAGCAAAGCTCCTGCCCTTGCCATGAACAGAAAATTTTTCAAAGGGTGTAAATTCCACCAAGCCCTGTATCTGGGCTTGATGTCTGATCAAAACTTTTATAGGCAGGGATGAATAGGCATTCTAAGCAAAGCATTACTTATGAAAGTGAAAAATTATAAGTAATCTATGTTCAAAACAAAGAAATGGTTAACTAAATTATGACATACCCACTCAGCAAATGTGACAATTAAAACCTTAACAATTAAAAATATGAGATTTATTAGAAAAATGATAATACACGTGATATAATGCTGAGTTTGTAAGAGACAAAGTTTGGATATATTATGACTTTGATTATATAAAAATATAAACACAAAGAAATTGAAAGGTCATATAATACTGATGAGTTTTATGTTAGGGCTATTTTTGTTGTTGTTACTATTTTTTCCCTATGTAATTAAAAGGATAATGGGGCACCTGGGTGGCCCAGCTGGTTAAGTATCTGACTCTTGATCTCAGTTCAGGTCATGATCTCAGAGAGGCCCATGATAGGCTCCCTGCTCAGTGGGGAGTCTGCTTGAGATTCTCTCTCCCTCTCCCTCTGCCCCTCCCCTCACTCTCTCCCTCTCTAAAATAAATAAATCTTTTTTAAAATTAATTAAAAGGATGAGGTTTGTATTGATGGATTTTGTTAAGCACCAACCCACCTCCCCCAAAAAATATTTCATTAGTTTTGTCATACTATTAAATTTCTCAAATTTTAAAAAAAATTAAATTTAAAAAAATATCTGGGGTTGCAAAAAGATCCAAATAATTATAATCAAACGCCCATCACTAATGTTTAGTTGCTTTGGCCAAAGAGATCAATGTTTGAAAATATGGGGGAAAAGTTTATATACTTCAACCAAGTAAGAGTAGATGTCTGCAATGTATAGGCTATCCTAAATTATTGGTAGTATAAAAATGGATTTCTACTACCAACAATTATAAGATCAATATAAAGCAGCATTAATCTCTGCAAAAACTGCTACAGAAGAATTAAATAAAGGTTTTTGATGAAAGAACAGAACTTCATTGGAGAAAGAAAAAGTTTACTGTATACAATACCTTGAAAGAAAGTGTCACTTTCCTAGAAGTTTTAACAATATGAAGTTTCTTTGAAATACATATTTAATTTCAGACCAGTTGTGTACAGAATGCAATTTAAATAATCTATGTGAAAATTATAATTGCATTGCTGTAATACAGAGTAACCAGCAGCTGTATCTTCCAATTGTGACTAAAAATCTTTATCTAATAGCAAAGAAAAACAGAATCAAAACCAGCAACTAGAAGCACATAAGAAACAACTTTTTATTTTTTTAAGATTTTATTTATTTGGGACGCTTGGGTGGCTCAGTTGGTTAAGCGACTGCCTTCGGCTCAGGTCATGATCCTGGAGTCCCGGGATCAAGTCCCACATCAGGCTCCCTGCTCAGCAGGGAGTCTGCTTCTCCCTCTGACCCTTTTCCCTCTCGTGCTCTCTCTCACTCTCTCTCTCTCAAATAAATAAACAAAATCTTTAAAAAAAGATTTTATTTATTTGACAGAGAGAGAGTGAGCACACAAGCAGGGGGAGCAGAGAGAAGCAGGCTTTCCGCTGAGCAGGGAGCCTGATGCAGGGCTCGATCCCAGGACCCCGGGATCATGACCGGAGCTAAAGGCAGAGGCTTAACTGACTGAGCCACCCAGGTGCCCTGAAACAGCTATTTTTTAGATGAACAACAAAAGTTTCCCTAATATCTGGTGATATGCCAAGTCAGAGTTTCCAAACTCTCCACTCCGCCAACTCTACATTTGATTTTACTAAGATCAAGCAGGAAGAGAGCAAAAATTTCATCGGTAAAATAAATCAGGTTCACAATCTAATTCCTACTAAAGATAAAGAACCTCACTTCTAAAACCTACCCACCTGCAAAGCACTAAAACTGACTAAAATTTTAAGTAGAAGAGTCTTTGCACGTAGAAGAGACATAATAAATGTTTAATAAGCAAATGTGGAACCCATACCACTCTAGCTAAAATTAGGTAAAAAAGAAGGTAAACCAGCAAAAGCTAAGTTAATAATAGATTAATCTACAGAAAAAGCTGAGTTGACTAAAAATAAATGTTTGCTTTTGCAAAAATATTTGAAGAAAACATTGCTATAGGATACTATATACACTTTATACTTAGCAAAATTAGTTCTGAAACTGGAAAGGATACTAGTATTAGAAATTAAATGACAGACAACCTCAAAATCTTGGGGATTTATGAGACATCTAGAAAAATTTCTTATAAAATGTAACTTTCAGTATTGATTGTGTTACTCTGTTTCACCCTGTCTACCATAAAAACCAATTAGGAAGATTTTCGCAAATTCAAAGTTTGAAAAGCCAGCCGCAAACACGCACACCACCTTGACAAGGGTGCTTTAAATACATTATCTGATCCTTGTGCTGTAATTAGATAACCAAATTATAGGTCCCTCGCTACTATTCCTATTACTATAACCTCAAAAATATTTTTTCAATTTCATGGAAAGCATTCCAAGTCTTCCCAGGGAGTTTTCAGGCTCAACCTCTTAGTTTACCATATACTCTCTAGGTGATATCATCTACTCCCTTAATTTTAATTACCCCCAGTGCTAACAAAAAATAAAGTTCTAGGGGCACCTGGGTGGCTCAGTCAGTTGAGCATCTGACTCTTGATTTCAGTTCAGGTCATGATCTCAGGGCCATGAGATCGAGCCCCACATCGGGCTCCATGTTGGACATGGAGCCTGCTGAAGATTCTCTCTCTCCCTCTCCCCCCGCCCCCCCAGCCCTGCTCACGCTCTATCTCAAAAAAAAACCTGTAAATCTAATCCAGATCTCTGCTGAACTTCAAATTCATATTTTCCTGTCCCATAAATATCTCTACCTGCATGCCTTGAAAGCACCCCAAAGCTAGTTTATTCAAAACCAAATTTTCTTTTTTTTCAGAAACCTATCACCCATCTGCATTCTCTACCTCAAATAACAGAAACATCTCACACCCATCTTGCCTAAATCCAAAGCCTTATTACTCTTCTCTCTTCCTTAACCTTCATATCCAATCATCTATATAAATTCTGAATCTATCCTTTCTCCATCTCCCTTGCCATTACTTTAGTTCAAGATGCCATCATCTCTCACCTAGACTATAAAAGAGAGACCTAATTTAGCACTCTATATTTCTATACCCACATTTCCAAGTGCTTTATAATTGCTTTCCCTAAACACCTCAAATGAATCATATCCAAAATCAAATCCTTCATTTATTTCAACCCTTTACCATCCCAGAGGAAAAGTATTCTTTTCCTCCTATGTTCTCTAGCTTAGTTAATAATATTCCTTTTATTTAAAAACCTCAGTTAAAATCTAACTGAACCAGGGGCGCCTGGGTGGCTCAGTCGTTAAGCGTCTGCCTTCGGCTCGGGTCATGATCCCAGGGTCCTGGGACCGAGCCCCGCATCGGGCTCCCTGCTCCACGGGAGGCCTGTTTCTCCCTCTCCCACTCCCCCTGCTTGTGTTCCCTCTCTCGCTGTCTCTCTCTATCAAATAAATAAACAAAATCTAAAAAAAAAAAAATCTAACTGAACCAGAATAGAAATTTGTACACCAATGTTCATAGCAGCATTATTCACAATAGCTAAAAGATGGAAACACCGCAATAAATGGATAAACAAAATGTGGTATACACATACAATGGAGTATTACCAACATTTAAAAGGAAGTAAATTCTAATACATGCTACGTACAATATGGATAAACCTAGGAAGACATGTTTTATGCTAAGTGAAATAAGCCAGACACAAATGGACTAGCATATATGGCTTCATTTATATGAGGTACCTATAATAACCAAATTCATACAGACAGAAGTAGAATAGTAGTTACCAGAGGCTAGGAGGTACAGGAAATAAGAAGTTATTGTTGAATGGTACAGTTTCAGTGTGGGATGATGAAACCTAGAGACAGACAGTTCTGATGGATGCACAAAAATATGAATGTACTTAATGCCACTGAACTGCACATTTTAAAAGGGCAAATTTTATACTCTGGTTTCTCTTCAGATCACATAATTTTTTTTTTTGCTTTTAAAATGACAAATTTTATGTCACAATTTTCAAAATTTAAAAACTTTTTAAAAAACCTAACTGAATCTCAAGTTGGTGTTAAACCAATCACCTAGAAAATAATTATTTCAAGTGATTTAAGAACTACATAGGGGGTGCCTGGGTGGCTCAGTCAGTTAAGCGTCTGCCTTCAGCTCAGGTCATGATCCCAGGGTCCTGGGATCGAGCCCCACATCGGGCTCCCTGCTCTGCGGGGAGTCTGCCCCTCTCCCTGCTCATGCTCACTCTCTCTCTCCCTCTCTGAAACAAATAAAATATTTTTTAAAAAGCATATAGACTTAGTGAGATATAGCATAAGGACAAAAATAACTGCTTTTAAAAAAACAGTAAAATTCACTCAGTAGTCTTATAAATGGTAGTACTATTACGTTAAAGCTATTTATATATATTTTCAGGAAAAAATACCTATGTTAATGTTAGGACCAAGATATTCAGTGTAAGACAAAAAAGATAAACTCACAGTAAAAACCATTTTCTACTCTTAAATTTGAACTCATGTTTTGTTTTGCCATATATATAGGGATAGAAATACTTGCTAGTTCTTATCACTTAAAAGCTTAAAAGCAGTGACAACCCAGAAGCAATGAGCACCTTTAGTGCCCATACAATTTTATCTAAAATAGCATTCCCCAGTGAAGGGAACCAGGGCTTTTTGGAGAAATGGCTGATTTCAGGCTGAAGCAGAAATATTACAAGATGAACCTGGGACATACTGTTGTGCCAAAAGCAAAGAAGCTAGCAAATACTAATCAGGTCCTGTCAAAATGACAAGTCACTTTGAAGGCACTTCCATTAGCTAAAGCTGGGGCAATTTGCACATCAAAAAATCCCATTGACTTCAATTGATTGAAACCTACTAAACATATATAAATCTGTGAGTTCATAAAATATATTTAAAAATCTACGAGTTCTCTTTCTTCAAGGACAGAAGAAGTCAAAAGACAAGCAAGGCTCATTCATCACTGCTAGAGTATGTACCAACTCTTATTCTAAAAATTAGCAATTAAAGAAAAAGAATTAAGCATTTACTCTACCCTTCCAGTATGCACTGATATTCATGGCAACCAAACAGCCCACTTGATGTTGAAAGTTCTTCACAGAAAAATGTCAGTTAATGTATGCAGAAGGAATGAAAGATTTAGAAAATCATCATTTTGCAACTGCTGATAAAATCAGTCTTCTCAACTTAAAAGACATAAAACCTTTCCTGAATCTCCCCCTTAAAATAAGAAACCTTTCTGTCCTTTAAATTATATCAGGTTTCTTATTTATACTCTTGCAACACTTAATCATAATATAAGGAAGAAGAAAGTGATGTCTGTGTTAAATTGTTTCAGTAATGACCCTCAATGAATCTCCCCTATGTTTTAATGCTTTTGTAATTTTCTGTGTAATCCTCTCCCACATGGGCTCTGGACTGGCCATGAGACTTGACATGGCTAACTCTTCTGCTACAATATAAGCCCAGGCTAGCCTTAGACTTATGTGGCCCAACAAATATAATCAGCAATCTGAGTAAGCACCTTAGACTATCCATTCCAATCAAACTGACAAATAACCCCAGCTATATGAGTAACTTCAAGAGAGTCCACCAGAAGAACCACTCAGCCAAGCCTAGCCCAAACTGCTGATCCACAAAATCTAGAGCAAACAAAATGGTGGTTGTTTTAAGTCAAAGCCAAAGTTTGGGGATGGTTTATTATGCAATAGATACAATTAGAAGTAGTAGATGCAATGTGGTATCTTCTCCACAAAAAAGAAAAGGAATCTTTTTGAGGCTGGGAGCCCTAAACAGAATGAGGTATTCACCACACAATTCCTAAGTAAGGACACAATAAAAGTGTCCACCCGAATTTAATGGGACACACAATAGTTTTAACACATTAAAAAAAAGGATTAACGTAACTACTCCATTACATCATTCTGTTTTCCATATTTTCTTTTTTAACTGTTTAAGTTAAACAAGAAACTGGAAGACTAAATGACAAATGCCAATCTAGTTTTCAGGGTATTTGAGTAAAATCAAGACGTTTTTATTCTTTGACAATAGGCATTGGTGGAAAGAATATTGGAAAACCAACCCTCTCATACATGGTTAGTGGGAGTATAACTAAATGCAAAAAATGTACATACTCTCTGACTTTGTGCTTAGGAAATTACTCAGTGGTACCACCTACATATGTACAAGCATGTTCACTGCAGTACTGTTTACAATAGCAAAACTGGAAACAAAACTAAATGTCCTTCAACAGGGGACTAGTTAATCCATAGAATATAATATAGCTATTAAAAATAAATAATAAAAGTTGTAGTTCTGGGGCACCTGGGTGGCTCAGCCATTTAAGTGTCCAACTCTTGATTTTGGCTCAGGTCATGATCTCAGAGTTGTTGAGATCGAGCATCACATGGGGCTCCACACTGGGCATGATGCCTGCTTAAGATTCTCCCTCCCTCTCCTTCTGAGCCTCTACTCCCCACCCCGCCCGCCCGCACGCACTCCCTCTCTCTCAAAAAAAAAGTAGTAGTTCTGAAAGTGGCAGTACTTAAAAATCTCCAAACTATACTAAGTGAAAAAAATTCAAACTCATATGAAGAATGATCATATTTTTATAATATTAATGGATATATGCATCAGAAAATTGTGGAGAAACACAAAGAAACTAACAGCAATGATTACTGGAGAAGGGACCTTCTACTTTTCATTTTATACCTTCTGTATTCCTAATTCTAACTCCTGACTGTCAGTCTCAAACTTCATATAAAATTTGTCTCTTAAGTCCTGCCTGCTTGCTCTAAATCTTGAACCTTGAAAATGGTCACTAATACTCTTCATTCTAATCTCCATAACAATTCTACCACCTTTAAACTTGTCTCATAATTCACTTTTGCTAGTTACTTTTTTTGTCCTCAAAATTCCTTATTTCTCTGCCCTCTTAAAACTGAATATATCCTGGGGCACCTGGGTGGCTCAGTTGTTAAGCGTCTGCCTTTGGCTCAGGTCATGATCCCAGGGTTCTGGGATCAAGCCCCACATCGGGCTCCCTGCTCAGTGGGAAGCCTGCTTCTCCCTCTCCCACTCCCCCGCTTGTACTCCCTCTCTCGCTGTGTCTCTCTCTGCTGAATAAATTTATATACATATAAAAAAATTGAATATATCCTGATCCATATTAAATCCTGAAGTAGAAGGCTTACTCAGATTTTTGCAATAATATGATTTAGAAAACTTACGGTACCAAATAACACCACTGATGCTTCTCTATCCATCATACAACTATATACAATAATAGTACGCTTTTTGGGAACCTGGCTGGCACAACAGGTAGAGTGTGCAACTCTTGATCTCCGAGTCCTGAGTTCAAGCCCCACACTGGGTAGGGTTACTTAAAATAAATAAATAAATAAATAAATAAATAAATAAATAAATAAATAAATAA